TACACATTATTCCCCATTATTTAACATTTATAATTTCCTTCAGTAACTTGAAGATTCGATGTGTCGAATTTTTTTTCGATCTTTTTTTCCCTCCCTTGGGAGGTACCGCGGTTTCACCATGTATCTGCCTGTTTCTGTGCATATTACATGCATATGTAATTTTACATTTGTAAAACGCTAAACGCAGTTATGAGTTGGCTACCGAATAAAAAACCGACAGAGGAACCGATCGGGAAGCGAGTGTAACAGGTGGAGGAACGGCGGTGGCGCTCTCGCGCGGACTCTCGTCGGGAAATGAAAGCGAGTACGTGACACAACGTGGTTTTTGGTGCCCGTATTGGAGACCGAAGTAGACGTTGAAGTACCAGGGACGCATGCCGATCGGGCGCTGTGCGTGGAATCGGTGCGGTGATCGGAGTGGCGATCGAGAGCGGAGTCGGGAAAAAAAATGTCACATCAGACAATTTCATGCGATACTCGACGATTGCCGAACGGGGTCGCATGCGCGGGCCGCGATCGCCGAGCGGCCGCGGCACACTGGTGCGCCCGAGACGTGGAAATTTCCACATAATAAGCCCGTCGCCGACCAGGGGCCCAGCGGACCGTCGTGGTAATCTTGTGGGACGGCCGCCGCCGCCGCTGTCGAATCGATAGTAAAAATGCATTGTACTCGCGCAATTACGCGTCCTCGATTCGGTCGGGTTCGAGAGAAACATAAAATTCCGATTGTCGGGAATGTCGAGCGATGAAAAAAAATTGATACTATTTCGTTACGCAACGTAACACGTAAAGGCTTTGTTTTTGATTTTGTATACATTCACTTACGATCAATGGCTTAGCCAGAAAAATATTTAGGAAGGGCGTTTCAAATTTTAAACTTTCTCTCTCAATTAAAGATTCCGTCAGAGATAGGTTGAAATATAAAATTTGTTATCTTTTTGTTAAAACTGTGAAAATTATTTAACGATGTGATATAATAAGTCTTAAAACGATTGTTAAAATAAAAGAGATATTTTGGGAGAGTTATAACACGTTATCCCCCCCTTCTAGCTACATCGTTTCTTAGGATGTCCAAAATATTCTTAAAATAACACACATGTGTACGTAAAAAAAGGAATTTTGAAAAACGTGTCTTATAGTTATGTCGTTAAAAAAATATACTTAAGACAGCATTATTTTAGAAATAATCGATGATTATCGAAGACTGACTCTGTAATTGCGCTTGGAAGTAATACGCAAGTCTACCCATAGCGCCTTCGATTCAAAACCCGATAAAAATAACTCTGTAGTTAAACCACATAAAACAAACATAGTAGATTAGGAACTAGAGTAATATAACATTTAAACTACAAGAAAACAAAAGAAATGCATCACACTACTATTCAAATAAAAATGATCGGTTAACAATTACGAAATCAGGAAGAGTCTGTTTAGCATATAATAGTAACATAGTATTAGTCTTGGTCTTGGTTTGCTCGTCATTATATACAATCAAAACAATCAGAATCCTATAGTTTTTACTTTTTCTTATAAATTATTATTATTAATTAAAATCAAATCGCAGTCCTCTTAGTGCATAAAAACCAAATATAATATACAGAATAAAGAATGTTCAGTGTGAAGATTTTCAATTTATTAATGAATTATTATTAATTTCTTTTACTTACTAACTTCTACACGGTTGCCTATTTCTATATTCTAATGTATACAATTAGAAAATAATGTAGAATACGTATGTATACCTGTATTTTTTTAAGAACTTTCATTTTTAACATTACGTATGATTAAAATGTCCATTTTTTAAACAAAAATTCATCCGACCTATATTGCCCCAACATACACTACACCGAGTACTACGACCACCGTACACGCCTTGTTATGACTATAAAAGTATAACAACATGCTGTGGTTTCTTACACAAATAACGTACCCGATTTGTGTCAAAAATATCACACAGAAATTAATATCGACGCCACATACGGATCATATGAATTGATATTATCAACCACAGATGGACATGATCTACACGGTATCGTTTCCATTATCCGTTAAAATCGCATATAACATTTATTATGTAACTTATACCGCGTTTCTCATTTCAATGTGTGTACTTATAGTTTCATACGGCACTAGGAAGTTTCGTAAATGGCAATACGCGATTTGCCCGCGCATTAAAATACAATGTTCGGTAATTGATTTTCGAGTAGCAGCCGCATTATCCGCGTTGACGATAAACTTATTGTTTTTGGACCATTGCAGTTTTATGTAACGCAAATAAATGAAGAAAAAAACAACTATTATCATTCACCCTCAAATGATTTCTTACAAAATGTACTTTCAAACGTCATAATACAGTGCCCACAAACGCTTGTCCGCGCCCAACGCACTACGTACTACTCACGTAATATTGTCATTGAATATAATCAACGAATCACAGAAAGGTCAACAATTAAAAATGTTTAGAGTGAAAGTCGTTTATAATTTTTGATACTATCTAGTTCGAATTCACGATGGGTTATAGCATAATATTTCATACTCTATAGTACCCTACAGGCCTATACGAAAGACGATCGAATGGCGAATAATGGCCGTAAGCACGGAGAGAGAAATGTTTTTAATTTCTGATGGTATATTATATTCGCACGACCTAGTCCCAATAATGCATGTCATTAACAATATGTACATTGTTGAATCGTTGTTTTCATGGTGTTAAGTAATGGCAATAAAAATCCAAATTTTTAATGCCATAGGTTCGGGTATTATATAGGGCCCGTGTAATGGTATATAAGACTATAAATAACAGTTTATTGCTGTTATTAGGTTTGCACTTTTAAAATGGATACTGTTTAAAATGTTAAAATACGGCGTTGAAAGAATATTGATATGGAAGATTGTGCGGTAATGGCTATTATATTTTATATGATTGCAAACATGTTATAATAAAACAATAAAAATGAATAAAATATAAAGTACCTATTTATTTAAACTAGTATTAATGTATTATTATTATTATTATTATTATATTATTTTATGTATTAAAGTATTAATTTTATTATTTATGTCGTAGTTCAATATTTTAGATTAAGTACAATATAAGACCAAATCCACTTATGGTCTATTAAAAAAAACTTTAAGTCATTTTTAAACACGTACATTTTCGAAAAATATATCATTTATCTTACTGTCAAATACAAGTAGAGAAAGCCATTTTTTTCTAGATTTGATAATCAATAAAAAAATTAAATAAAACAATTATTTGAATATAACGGTTTAGATTTGGTGTGGCGTGTCAATTTTCTTGAAACACTACCATTAAAATTGAACTTCCGTAAAATATTTGTATTTTAATTATCATCCGGTATCCTATAAACGTTATAAAACCGATCTAAACATTTTTCAAATAATATTTAAAATTAATATTTAATACTCGTGTACTTAAAATTTATATATTTTGCTGTACTGACACATGAAGTAATATTTTATGAGTATTTATTGTAATATATTACATACTCTCTATGTATATTATGCATTAAATAATAAAATAATATGCGTCTTCAGTGCTGTATAAAACCAGTTGATAACGTACCCGCCAGCAACTATTCTCGAATCACATAAACTAATAATATTGTATTATTGTTGAATTAAAAGATTTTTTCACACCGAAAAGTGAAAATTGACTGGTTTTTGGCTATACATCAAACGATCCTTCGTGTTAACCAGCAATTTACACTACACAATGTTTACTGCATGTAATATTAGGTTTCTATAAACTTTATGTTCGTTGGTCTTCACGATTCGTTGCTAAGAAATAACAATTATCGATTGTTCGAAAAATATCTGAATACCTAAATTTTAGAATATCACTCAAACTTAAAATATGGAATTAAAAACTAAATAATAATTTGTAAATTAAACATACAACCGAACTAGTTCGTACTTTATCTACAGATATTTTTGACAATGTTATAAATTATAATTATATCGATAACACTTCCTATTTAATACATTTTTAAGTTTGCATCTCATACTGCGTATGTATTCATTTACCATACAATTGTAAATATTGTTACTGTCGTTTTATTACAGCATATTATAACAGATTATCAATATGAATACAAAAATAACTTTAATAAAAAATATTCAAATATCGTTTCCCCGCAGCCAACGACTCTCAATGCATGAGAATTTATTATAATTCGAATAGTTGTAAAGCAGGGGTGGCCAACCCAAATGATCTTGAGGGTCACTTTGGAAATACATTACGAACACCCGCGAACCACATATACAATTATATTTGTATTTTGCTCCAATACAAAAAAATTTGTAGTAAACATTTTAAACAGGATTAATTATTATTATAAAATAAGTTTTGGTGTATTAATTATTTGAAATAAATATAATGAATTATTATTGTTTTTATAACCGTATTCTGAATCTAATTCTTTCAATAACTCTTTAAATTGTCGATACAAAAGCGCATGTGATCCATAAGCGGATATCAAGGGGAGCTTAGAGGGGCTTAGAACCCCCAAATATTTTAATAGCCCCCTCCCAAAATCGAAACTGTTAGAAATTCTATTCATTGTTTTTATAATTTATTTATAATTATCTGTTCGTTTTTTTGAAAATCGTAAAATAAGAAATAATAAAAAAATATTTACAGTAGCATTAACAACACCAATTAAATAGTTTTGGCTACTTGCGAAAGAAGTTTCAGTGCAATGAAAAAAATAAAAACTTGGCTAAGGGCATTGTTGGTTCAAGATAGATTCAGCAATCTTTCAATACTATTAATACTTTACTATACTAAAAAAGATTATCGAAAAAATGTAAAAAGCGATGATATTTTGAGTATCTTTGCTAATACAAATAGTTATTTCTCATTAAAATATAATATTAATTATTTTTAAATATACGTTATTTAGTGTTTTTTTAATACAATTTAAATATATCTATATTTTTAATGGTAATAAGTTTTACTTTTGTATGGGAAGGGGGGATGGGGGCGAAGTCCCTGCGTGTTATTTTGCATTGAATTATTATAGCACACCCAAAAATTTAACCAAATGTCTGCCTATGATGTGATCGAATGTAATTCACTGTTTTTATGACTACTAGAATAACATGGTTCATCAACAATATTTGGAAACAAAGATTTTGTTGATGAATCAGATTGTTATGATTATGTTGTTAATAATACGGCTTCCGCGTTGTGCCGACATCTCAGAATATTTTATTGGGAAAAAATTTTTTTTTTTCATAAATGTTTGATAATCTCGCGGACTGCAAGCATTCCAAGGTGGGCCATATGTGACCCACGGGCCATGGGTTGGCCATCCCTGTCGTAAAATCTTCTTCTGAAAACATATAGGTAATATTTTAAATAAATAAATCACGGCATCGTCTGAATCGTTAGTGCGCAAGTTTTGCAAATTTCAATGTTAGCCCTTATTTATCTAAAATTTGTTCAAAAAGCATAATACTGGAAGGAACCGTAGGCATGCGCTTATTGCTTTCGTTTTCCGCGAAAAAATAAAAATTATTCACATAAATGATTAAGCATTACATTTTACATATGTACGGTTGTGGTCAGGTTGAACGATTGCGATTACCTTCAATTCGCGTTCGCTCGGCTTTTCGATAGTCGAAGTCGAATGACGGGATTGACGTTTTCTGCAAGGGAAATTAACGGTGGTTCATCTTTGTTAATTATAACCAATTTGTTGACTAATGACCTGTGGTTTTTGTTGCGGTCGGGGATCTCGGTGATCACGAGCAGACGATCAGTCTACGATCTCTTCGGGACCCATTTCGAGCATTGAGATAATTTTGACTATGTCATCGTCCAAAGTAAGCGCTGGTGCGTCAACGATATTCGTAATATTCGGCTTGCTTATAAGTGGCGTATTAACGAGGAAGGGTATTTCCAGATGTACTGGACATCCCAAAACTAAAAAAAAAAAAAAACTAATAATAATAATATAATTGCAGATCCTACTTTTGTGTTAAAATAAGTCCATGGAATTTAAAATACGAGTATCTATTAAAATATAATTAAAATAATTATTTTCTATTCTTAAAATATATTAGTAACTATTTCCCACCTTAAGTATCTAAATCATATCGGAATTATTAAACCCCTAGAAAAATCTTGAAAATATGCCGATATTAAATATATATATATAAAAAAATCTCGTACTTTGGTAGTATCCATTTATAAGTCCTAAAAATGTCTTATAATACGCATACAGGATTAAATTAGAATTAAATTAAAATTTCATACTCCATATGGTTAGGACGGTTAAACCAATACCATATTTCTGTTAATTTTTGATACACATAATTTTTTTATTTCTCGGTGGTATTCACCGTCTCGATAGACTCATTTTCGCTGACAGCTTTTAACCCTTTTTGAACAGTGAATTGGATAACATCTCTAGACAATTTTCTTTTCTTTAGTAATTTTCTTCAGAAACTATGCATGTCACATTGCCCATATACGTTTCTAGTTTAATCTCCGAATGTTCCCTTCAGCTTGTTATTAGCAAGCACCTGCTGGACTTGGTTCACGTCGAGGGTCCACCTTGATTTATTCATTATATTTGTTTATTTATTTTTTATTTTACTTCTTATAAAATAATTAATATATCTTTTTAAATTTCATCATGTAAAATTCAAATCCTATCCATAATTACTAACCACATTATATATTTTAAAGGAATTCAAGTATTAATCTAAAGATTAGTTGTACATTTTAAATAAACTCTATACCATTAAAACATTATTTAAGATCAGTTGAAAAATTTTTTTTTTTTATTGTTGGGTTATATTTATGTTATAATAATAATATTTTAACTTAATTGACTCGATAACGTTTATCGTGTATTTAGTTATATAATATTATACAACAACTCACATCGATTCAAATATTTAACTTATCACAAAATTACTTTGGATAACTTAATTATAATTAATAATACGTTACGTTGCTGATCGATTACAGTTTATTGTAATTAATTTATTGTATTAATTTATACAGGAATATTGATGTATCTAAGTTGTGTTTGAGAAACCCAAAACTGTATTGCAATATTTATATTCGTATAGTTAATTGGTTGTTTGAAATTATACCCCTCGTCTATTACTCTTTCCCGACAACGAGAATTCCTCTTCAATATATAATATTCAGTGTCTTTTATTTATTAGATACTGTATTAATTATCCTTCTATGCATTAGAGTTTCGATATTGTTATCTAATATAACTCTAATATTAATATCTAATAATTACTATAATTTTCATGCACAGGTTTTTGATTAGCGATTTTTGTAACGTATAGTATACGAGTATAGGCGTACACGAAGACACATCAACTATCGTGCCTATATGTATACTGTGTTTGGTATAAAATCTATTCGTAATATTAATACTATCGATGAAAATCAAATAAAATGACATTCTAAATCGTGACTTATACGTTAAAAAATAAAATGTGTATATAATATCTAGGGGCATAAGTGATTGTGTCTTCACGACGGATTAACGAGACCTGCTCGGTGCGTTTTACCGAATCCATATAAGTATAATAATATATAATGATCATACACTATATTATATTTATTGGATATAAATCCAGTAAAAACACATCACTAGAATATTATTACGTTCGTAGACAGGTAGTATACAATCGTGATGTATAATTTATTTATATTTTTTGTTTGTATAAGACATTCACCGACTATGTTTACATGAAATAAACATATTGATGAAACACATTAATTTGAATTTTCGTATTCATTTCTTCTGTCTATAATATAAATGCTGATGGCGGGTTGCTTTACCATCAGATTACGAGTGTAAGTATCCAATTTAGATAGGTGAAAAAAATTAACCATTTCGCACAACAATGAGTTGTCGCGGTCGTTATCACAAAGAGGACGCGGCCGAACCGGTCTGGGCTACGCCGGCGGTGTGAGCCGTCGGCCCGGACGGGGACATCAGCTTTTGCCTGACCGTCGTCAACGTCATTACAATTAGTGTTCCTATATAATATAATAAATCGTGATTAAATGAACATTGTAGTTATATTCAATCCAAATCGTACCTCAACAGTTCTGAGTACCATTTTCTATGTTCGTCCGTATATTTTATATTTGTGACGTATATTTTATGACTTTTATTTTGTGACTAATATATCACGTAGATGCACACGATTGGGCGAAACACTTGAACAAAATTATTACTTAAACAATTCCAGAAAATCAACAATCAGAATATTTATATGTATTCGAATAAATTAGAAATAGTAGTAGAATTCAAAAAAAAAAATATTCTGGATATTTTAAAAACATATTGAAAAAAAGAGTTGATAAAAAACATAAAAGTAATAGACAACTGAGGTTAATTGTTTAATCAATTTAATTAAAATTATTGTTACTAATTTATTTATTAGAAAATTTATTTTGTGCAGAATAATATTTTTGTAATTTTATAATCGACATTTGCGTTGTATTAATTATCTACATAGCTGTATACTTACAAGAGGTAAGTCATCCAAATTTTTAACTGAGAAAAAATAATTTGTAGTTCAATCGATCGATTGAATATTATAACATTAATACAGAAAGTATAATGTACGATACTTGAAAATATAGTATTTACTGTACCCGTCATACTTAGTCGGTAGTTGAAAAGAACTCTAGTTTTATATTAGTAGTGACATCCAACGGGCGAATGTGTTACGTGCTTACGGTAAGAGTTTGATTAGTGAATAAATCGAACAATATTGTTCGAAGTGCATAAACCAGTGTTTTCCATGGGATGTACTGCGGCCCCTAGTGTGTTGTGAAATTTTGAAAGATTTTCCGTGGATACTAGAGCTCTTTAATTTTAAAAGTCCTTAAGTACTTATTATTGGCAAATAGATGTATAATGCCTATCCAAAATGTGTCATGGCTTAAACAATCACTAAACATTATATTTTACGATTAAAAAAAATTGGAAGCCTCTGGACTGAACAGCATTACTGCTTACAAGAAATATTATTTGAAAAATTTTGCGATTCCGACACGATCGGCATAATTTAAGAACTTACTGCAACGTTCACACGGATGGCGGCGCGAGCTATAGGGCTTTCTTATTATTATGTGGAGGAACATGATATATCGTTGCGATGATAAATCACGCGAACGGCGGCGGCTATGGCGGGACAATAATCGACTAGGCGCTTTTGACTTGCGTCATCAACCGGTACGCGAGGACGTTCAATCGACGCGGAGAACGGACCGGACGTGCCGATCGGATAAGTCGCCAAGCTAAAAGAGAGAATTCGATGGGAAGAGCGCGAGAGACATAAACAGAGATAGAGAGAATTTCGAAAACCCGTCTGTGGTAAGTCGCGTATAGTTGTCACAATCGCGAATGTGCATCAATCTTGTGTCCATTCGTCAGAAGGGGTCAAGCGTGCCTGTTTGACCCGCAGTCAAAAAATCCGTCTGCGGCATGTCATCCAACCACCAACACCGCACTTGTGTGACCGTCGAGTCAAAATATAAAAAAAATAAATGTTTTTTACTATAAAAAATTGAAACGTCCGCGAACCCGAAGCTAAACGCAAAACGGCATTATAATAATAATATGGTCGAACGACCGTATAATATTTCGCCGTCGTGGTGGTGTACGAGTTGCAAAAACCTAATCTAACCTTGCGAACCACCGTAGACAGCAGACGATCAAATCAACGCATGTCTTTATTCGCTAAATCGAAACACAATTGTGAATACAAAGTTTATACAGCTTAGTATTCATGTTGTAATCGTAAATTGCAACATCTCGCAGCAGTTCAGAAAAGTAAAAATAAGAGTCAAAATTGTTAGCCCGATAAACCTTTAAAATTTAAACAAACAAAATCCAAAAAAAAATACTTAAATTATTTTTGTAAAAATTCACAGTTAAAAATCGTATAGTTTTATAAGTTTTAATATCGACCTTTTGAATATTTCAAATGTTCAAATACATATAATATCTAGAACAACTAAAATATAACTAAAAACAACTTTTTATTTACATTAAAAATAAAATATTAGTACATAATCAAAATGATAAAAATGAAAAAGTTAGTTTATATTATAAATACACTATTAACTTAATTTCATTCGTTTAACAATTCAAATGTTGTGTTTTTGTTTTGTTAATGGTGAAATATAATACAATATACTTTGTAACTGGTAAAATAGATAAAAGCTTAAATTAAATTTTAATAAAAGGATGGGGGGAGTAGTGGGGTGATTGATTTTATTTTCTATCTATTTAGAGCCTCAACATATTAAGAAACGCTGATCTAGAACTTATTTTTGTATCAATGTAGAATTGTTGTTAATAAAACTTAAAGTTAAAAAATGAGTTATAAAAAATCTTAAGACGATTTGTAAAGGTTAGCCCGTGCCGACTTGATTTTGAATTTTGAGAATATTAATTAATTCATAATTTAATATTATATATTTCACATTTTTTTGTGATCTTATTTACAAATAGGAAAAGCTAAATTAGTTATATAATATGTTATAAATAAAATAAAATTGTCTATGAATTATGTTCTTATACACTTATTTTTATTTATTATGATTTATAAGATATATTGACTTTAATGTATGAAAGTACTATATTTTCAAAATTATATATTATAGTACATACATTCATACAAATTATTTTTTAAACGTTTCCTTTTTACAGTCGGAGTATAATTTTTTGGATTCTTAGACATAGCATGAGAGCAGCTCAGACTTCTTATCATCTTTAGTTGAACTTCCATGAAAATCATCCATAAGTTTAACTACTCTAACTAAATCTAAACTAAACATCTTAAATAAAACCTAACAATAAAAACAAATATCACAAATATCGTTTTTTTTCAGAAGAACACAAATAATATTGTTTTTAAAAACAATACCTATATATTTAAACAGTAAATGGTTCTACACATCTAACGAACTTAGTGCATTGCTTCATGAGGATGTATTTTAAATTTGTTTAAATTATCATTAAAAAAAATTATAGATAGCTCAAGTTGTTCTTTATAATTATTTTTGTAACATTTATTTTGCAACTGGATTGATATAAGTAGAGGATATTATTTCGTGCATCTTTTAACGCAGTGCAACAGTCAAGGTCATATATACCAAAAGTTATATTTTTAATATAAATTTTATTCTAATTGTTTCAAAACCTTTTGAATAATGGAATACTAGAACTTGAGATTGTACGGGAAAGTACAGTTTCAAAAACGTCATGGAAAATTATTTGGTAGTCGTGGTAGCGACATAATAGGTTAAGAAAATAAATGTTCTCTCAATTTTTGCTTTAATAAAACGCATGTGCCATTTAAATGCCTTATGTTTAATGCAGTGGTATCACTGAATAGACCTATAACAATATATGTTACCCTCTAATTTTCTGATGCATAAAAACAGTATAAACAGCAGTAGATTTATATAATCACTGAATTGTGAAAATAATATACGATTCGATTATCTTGATCAGTGTTTTTCAATTTTTTTTTTTAAACTTTCAAAATTAATGACTTATTATGACTACATTGCTTAATATTGGTAATTTTTGTTCTTTAAAAATGTCAGATTATATATTTTGCAGTTAATCAATTACAATTCTTCTGTATGATTAATTATTAAAGTATATTATTAGTATAATCATTATTTTAATATTTAATATATACAATTTGCATAAACTAATATTTAATTATTGATTGACGAGTATTAACTATTTAATACTTTTTAATTATAATCTAATTTTTTATTATTTTACGATTTATCATTAATGTATTTATTTATATTATAAAAAGATAATTTTAACAATTCATTTTTAGGTTTTAATAATGACATTAGTGAATGATAATATGATCTTATAATAAATTTAATACGGTTTAATATGATAAATAATGATATATAATTGAGAATTATTTGTAGTAAAAGTATAAGAATTATACAAATTTAGTTAATTCCAAATAATATATTAGCAAAATAATTGAAGGTCCTACAACGATAAAGGTCTATAGAAAAATTATCAATACCTTTTTTCCCCAAACAGAAAGTCAACTTAACCCTCCATGCTTGGTTAATGTACCTTATATACTTGTTATCCAAAAGTGATCTTTGACATATTATTTAGTTCGTGCCTAAATGCCATTAGTGCATCTTATTAAACAATTAACTTTTAGCAAATTCTTCACTTAGGACTTATGTCCGTGATTAATTCGTCACGCGAGAAATTTATCCTATATAGTACATATGTTATATGACGTAAAATGTGTATAATTTTTTTATTTTTTTGTTTGTTACACACTCGTTAAATATGAGTAAAATATGAGTAAAACTGCTGGCAATATTATCCATGTTAAAAGCATTTGAAATTATGTCATTGCAAATTACTTTCATTTCAAACCAAAACATAATTGTTCATTTAACAAATGGGTCCATTATATTATTAGACTGTTGTCTCGTTCAACTCTATCCATATACAAACTATAAACACACATATACATAACGTACTGTACCAAAATCATGTTAACTTCATGAAATTAAGAAAGGGGCTATATCAGCAATTTTATAACGATTGAACCGTACAAGCATTCTATAATTTGTAAAAAATTGTATTTTTACAAAATACTCGTATATTATCACAATAACGAGACTACTCGCTTGAATAGTAAATACTATTTTTGAAGTTATCTATTATTATTTTCTTAAACATATAAGGTACGTAGTTGGCTAAATTTTTCAATGCATACCTACTCTATCAACAAGTATTTTAGTTATTTCTATTTTGTCAGAAAATGTATGACTTTTTGTTTTTAATATTTTCATTTTATGCCTTACTATATCAACTGCTTTGATACGTTTTATAATTTATCCGACAAAGAAAAAAAAATATTACAATTTATATAAAACTGTTAATATGTATTAAGTAAAATACGTTTTAAATAACTTAGAAAAACATCACACAAATATTCCTTGGGCTAGTTAATTTATCTTATTTTTTATTTTTTTAGATTTGGTAATTAAATGATAGTTGAAAAACGAATTTGAACAAGTTTTGTACAATACCGCACTGCAGATACTTTCCGTTATTTTTTCAATTACCTAGTCTTTGTATGAAACCGATAATAGTACAACGATATTCATAAATAATTGTTTTCCATAAATAATATGAAATATGATTTATATCCCACAAACACATTCAATTAAAACCCTCCTTCTATATGTGCTCAATAACTCATCTTACAACACGTGCATAATGTATTTAGGTTTGATAGACATATTTATGTATAATATGGTATGTTATTGCAGCGATGATGATGTTATTTAATGATTTGTAATTTGTAAAAACTGAATTACGTTAGTAGTAGCATAATACCCACCTCTTAACGTTGAAATTTGAAAAAGAACATTATTGATACTTAACACATAAAATTATGTAACATTATTTTTCATATATTTCCTAAACGTCTTAATGAATAAGTACACACATTGCTGCAATCAAAATCGTTCATAATGTGTATAAATTGAATTTTAATAATGCTAATCAGCAAAAACCAAAGTAATATAGTAATAAAGTATTACACGCCTCCGTATATATTTTTTTTTATTGATAAATGGAAATAGTTGTCAATTGAACGTACAAATAATGGAAGTATTTTAAGGTTAAAAACAAACTAACTACATCTATATATATACAATTAAATGATTACCTTTATGAGTATAATGTAAATATATCCAAAAAAAATTATATTTCCTTGTAATTATTCACAATAGTCAATTTGAAATAAAATTTAATGTCGACTTTATACATTTAGAATTAAATCTTCATGCTCATTGGTAATATTACTTTTTTAATCGATCTTTTACATGTGAATTTTTTCGATAACTATGCGATGATTATACTATTGTCACTAATACATTATACTATCATCATCACACTAAAACGTATCAGTTAAACAAAAATTAGTTTGTAGTAAAATAAAAAAGTTGTTCATTATGTGTCTAAAATAAAGTTCTCGTTGAGTACACACAAATTTGAACGTTAATTTCAAATCGTATTGGTAGTGAAATTATTATTTTTTTACGAAAAAAAAAATTAAAACATATTAATGAAAAACCCGCATTATCAATATTCAGTGCCATATTGTTAACGTTAGTTTAATAAACATTCGCATTATTTGTCGTTTTCGAGAACCAGATAATTTACTGACCATATTGTATTTACCTACTGCGGCTTTGGTATACCTGGTATAGTTGTATTACATTGTTCAACAATTATAAACAATTATTAAATTATAGTTTGGAAGTAAAATTTATAAAATAATCAATTTTCATTAAATGATCCCATATCATTTCTCTTCTCTGTATAGTCATGCAGTTTTATAGATTAATATAAAATGTTGAAAGCTAAATTTAAAAAACAAAAACATTTTACATAATGTAAAACGTACCAATAAAATTAGCGCTAGAGTTTATTAAATTCGGTTGTTTGATTATATTATACAATTTAGTCTAAATCTGTAATTAATTTCCTATTTATATTAGGACTTCATTTTCTTGTGCCCAGATTTTAAAATTCATTAATTATTGAAATATATGACGATTTTTAAATGTTTATACTCTTAAATTATTCTATCACCATTCAATACTAAAGTAAATATTATTTAAGAGTAATACATTTGTATAATTGGTATAATAATAAAAACATATTTTAACAAAATACCACTTTCATCATATTTTTCATCGTAATATCGTTACGGTTTTTATTTTGCATTCTGGATATTATTATTGGCTTATATTATATATAGGTATTGTATAAATTATAAAATTTATAATATTATGAGTGATAAAAAGCGCGGTACGATTGTAGGCTTGTTGAAAAATTCGTTTGAGTAAATAAACGAAGAACTATTTATTGCATGGTCCATGCCACGTAGCATATTATAATATTAAAAGATCCGTTAATATATCATTGATATTTGTAGACGATTTAAAAAATAACGTTAGGTGATACATTCTCGTCGCACTAAATAGGCTTGAAATTTAAATAAAACATAATTAACTGCGCACGACGTATACAATAAAATACCAACGTGGATCTAAAACCATAAGTGGCGTACAAAATGTTTCAAACTCCCAGAATCTACCACGTGGTGGACATGGATTGGTGTGTCTTTTTAAAACGGGTCGTCGTGCATAGACCTGAATGGAACTAAAAAATTTAATGAAAAAAATGAGTAATTAAAAAAAAAATTGTTTATAATAAATTCAGACACACCGCCGGTGCACCGTCATCGTCGACGGCGGATATCGTATTTTAGGTACCTGCGTGTAAGATCATTACGGCTTGTCGATACTTGATGTTATGTATAAATTATACAGGTATAAAATATATGATACGCGGACGATTGCACGATAACCGCGATTTCGTTTGATTGATAAGACGAAGATCGCAGCGGCGGGAAAAAGGTCAATTACGAGTAACACACATATACACACGCACGCACACACACACACACACACGCACACACACACACGCGCACACACACACACACACACACACACACACACACACACACACACACACACACACACCGTATACACGTTTAAGCACTCCGTTAAACACACAGCTCGTACAACGGCAAACCCTCAAGGCACCCACAGACGGGGAGGGGGTTTCACGCGAATGCATCGCGCATATAAATACAACGGCGGTGTACGGATGAAAATCGTGGACACTGCAGTCGAGAATCGACGAACCGTGCGAGACAGCGAAAGTAACGTGCAAAATATTCTAATAACAACAACACTTCAACAATACATCACGCATTATCTTCTCGTCCGTCAAACGCATCGCCTAAGACCAGTCATCATGAAATCGGTACGTACTTCTACAGTAATGCGGACTTACAAAGAATACCGTAACGCGACACGATCGCTTTGCAACGTTTTCCGCTGAACGTTCGCGCCCAACGCCCATACACACCCATCAACCGCACGATCCCTCGGCTACCCCATCCCTCGCGTTCGTATTAATTTTACCCACCACTCGGTTGTCGGTTCTACCAATGCGTTCATCGTACCCTCACCGTACACCCCCGAAGAACGTCATCCGGTTTCCAGGTTCGGTACAGCCATGCGCCGCGCACCGTCAAAATCGAACATGTCTAATTTTCATGTTCCACCGACCGGACCGATTGGACACCTTGTTTCCGCGCTGCCCATGCCACCGTTGGTTGAGAACGTTTCGTTAAACGTTATTGTTTGTTTTCTCGAACGCTTTATGCATAAGATTGTAATTCGGAACGCGTTGTCGTCGTATACCGGTACCGATTGAAAATTGACCACGAGCACCAACTAACTATTGTTTTCATTAATCTTTAACGGATATTTTCTTAAAATTCAAAAAATTACCCAACGTAATAATATGTTTGAAATATTGCTGATGCATAATAGTTACCGAATAAAATCACAATCCAATCAGTTTTTGTATAGCAACTTTGCCCGTATTCCGTACAACATATAATGTCGATGATTTTTACTTTTTTTAATTACTCAAAAGTTTCTTTAAAGTTTAAAAATACGAGTATTAAATTATATCGTATTATATTTATGTGTTTAAAATCAATTTTCAGATTTTTAAAACTCTATAAAACTCTTTGTCTTTGTTCTTTTTAAATTTTTTAAAAAAAATAAAAATAAATCTAGTAAGACATCAACATTTCAAATTTCTCTTTAAATTACGTTATCGATTTCGAATGATTGAACTGAACATGTAATAACATTTAATGCAACATTATAACCACAACAATATATTGCATTTATCCTTTCAGACCATCGTAGTAGTATGCAGCATGTTGGTTGGCTTGGCTAGCTGTCAACAATACCAACCAACAACTCCTATCCCAATCGTCCGGTATGAAAATGACGGAGTCAATTTCGATGGATCTTACAAATGGGCGTAAGTAAAATTATAATATACTGAACCATGATTGCCGACTTTGTAATAGTATTTGGGGTTTCAAAACATAAATTTCATTCGACGATTTTTGATAGTGTTTCGTTTAGTTGGTGTGCAATAGAGTATGAATAATTTTTATTAAAGATATCTATAGTAAATATACTTTAGTTTATGATTATGCAGGAGTATATATAAAAATCAATAATAAATTCATTATTCAGTTAAATTAATTATTCAGTCACTGACAGTATATTAATATTAATCAGTTTTACCCAAAAGTAAAATTCGCTTTAAAATTCTTATCATCATATGAGTGATTGTCATAAGCTCATTAAATTTGAAATCTCTCACGTTTCGATAAGCACGAAATATTATTTCCGTTACTCGGTCTCAATCAAATACTATTTTAATTTTATAATTTTCGTCGAATAAATGCTTAAATACATACGAGTAATGTGTGCGAGTATAATACACATTGAACAAAATCGTGAAGACATACTTTATAGGTAAATCGACACAACACCGCGTGTCAGAATAGTATAATCGTGCATTGATTATTTTGAATTTTCTAAGTTTATTAATTTTCGTAATTATGGGTTGTACAAAAATTACACGATGCGTGATGAAATTGAAAAAAGCAACAATAACATAATCATCTTCGCCGACAAAAACATAAAATCCGCGTCGCTCCTAAACTTTTTTATTGACATTTGTATAATGTATGTCACTACGTCGCACATTCAAAAACACGTCCTGTACAAATGCCTAATATTATCTTTGCAAACGAAACAACAACAACGTTTATAATGTGTTTAGTGTTTAACGAACAATAGTCATCGTAATGTTTTTAATAGTAAAAAAAATTAAATTATAAAATACGTTAGCGAAACTGGTTTTACGTCTATAAAGCCGGCGTATGTAATCAAACCTAACACACATATGTACACATGTTAACTAACTCCTTGACCTGATCGTGTAAACAACTCCTTGACCCCCGTGATCCACGGCAGGATGACCGCAGCCTCCGATAAAGCAGCAGTCACACTTTGACCCAGCCTCCCGGTAACGCGCGGGCGTTCGCGAACTCGATGACACAACGAGTACTTGGCCACGACTACATACGCTCACGACGACATTCATTAATAATAATAATAATAATAATAATAATAATAATAGTAAGAATATTAATACAAATATCACAATGAAAGTCATCGTCTTTAACGAATGTCCCGAGGGCTGACAGCACGCGCGGAACAATAGTTTTCGTAGACCAAAATGATATAACACAGCAATCACATAACACCACCGGCTTAATAGTTTCTCGAACTGTTCAAACTAGGAGAGTAGACGATTATTCCCTATATTTTTATTATAAGTTCTTTTATCACTTCAACTCAATCAAAGGAAATTGATAGAATTCTATTTAGTCTCCCCCTCCTTCAACATTACGATCCCGTAATTCTCCGTAGAACGTAAAGCGTAACAATATTTGTTATAAATTTGTACACGAAAAATGTGTTCGTGCGGTGCGACGAAACGATTTTCGAAAATGTTTCATTCAAAAATTAAAATTGTTTACTATTCGTATTTCAATCGAAAAAATAATACACGATAACCTATAGCATCGCGCAAGAAATACACCCGTTCACCCGATGATATAATCGGCATACACGTTGAACACGATCGTCGCGCGGCCCCGTCGAAGTCAATGGTCAACAGTCGTTTCTTATCTGGGTCATCGCGTTTCTCATCGTCGTCGTAGTCGAGTCGGATACTGATCCTTTTACACGCAATCGTTTTGTTAGTAATTTTCTCTCTACATATATGCGCATGTGTATGCAGATGTTTGTGGGTGTGTATGTGTGAGCACGTGCATATGTAATGATGTAACTAGGAGGTGTTTACCGGGGAGAGGCAGTTCATTTTTTAAAACAAAAAGTTCAGAAACATAAGTCAGCAAATTCCAAAGTATTGGGCTCCTTTTTTTTTTAAATGCGTCACACCATATTAGTATTATTATTATTATTATTGTTATTATTAATATATCATCAGTTCAACTCATTTAACATTTTCGATTATCACAGATTTGATATTTATTTTTTCGTGTTAATAATTTAAATTAATATCTTACCAATGGTGAGTGGCGAAAGTGGGGAGGGGTTAGATAATAACTTTACCTCATCAATAAAATATCTGAAGGGCAGTTCCCCCCTTCTTACCTCCCTCCCCCATAGATAACGCTCTAGTATTTGCATGTGCACGCATCAGTGTACAAGTGTATATGTTTGTTTCTTAACTTAAGCATTGGCTTACATAAAATCGATTTATCGTTACGTGTCCTTAGGTCACACGCACCTAGCACATCCTTGAACGCGTCAGCCTTGATCCTTGGCATGCTCGTGTCAAAGTCTTCCTGAATATTTACACGCACTCGTCTATGTCGCAACCGCAGAACCGATCGTTTGGTGTTCGTAAACGATCAGTATCCGATCAACGGGGTTCACGAGTACGATGATTACCATTAAAATAATAATGTTATTTAACGATAGAATGGAACTAGGTACAACAATGATGGTTAATAATACAAAATATTCACGTTGTTCGTTTGTCTTGATAGCATTATGCGTTTCGACCAATCGGCAAAACATGTCTATAACTGTTACGAAAACGTTATGCTAACGTTTTTAAGTCGAAAAGATAAAAAGTTGTACTTACGGCGGCTTTGGATAATTATTATGTTGGTTTTAAGAGAATATCTTATGTTCGTACATTTATTCGGTTCGACGTTGGATCGCTAAAAACAATATTAACGTGCGTACCTTGTAAATCGAAGCTTATGTTCACGTATGAATTTTGACTTAATAAATAAAATGTAAATTATTATAATATTATGATATCTCAAATTGTCTGCGATAAACGTTTATTATTGTATAGCGAACTTGGATGGCCGGCGTCTTGTGTAGGCAATTTAAGCCCACTCGTGTACACGATTAACGTTTTATCCTCTTACATTTATTTTCGACATATTTCACTATTATATTTCATAACTTATTATAAATAATGTAACTTCATTGATTAATAATTGTACACCGATTTTCAGATTTTAAAAATTTCCTAGCTGATGTGTGTATCTTAATACTTTTATTTATTCTTATTTAAATTTGTTTTATATATATATATATATATATATATATTATATTTATAATATATTTCTTTAAACATCATGAAATTGAGTTGATTCCATAAACATTTTTACTCTGTGTATTATTTTTTAACATTACTTTTGATGAACACGAAACATCATCTTTCCTAAACTCTACATATCTACATTTGTTATATTATTTTAAGTGGTTTTTAATTTTATAATTGGTAAAGAAATATATATATTTTCCAAGCTTTCACTTAAAACTGTTCTTATTTTTCTTATTTTTTAGTTTTTTTCTTTTTTTGCATCCTACAATATTGCAATTTAAATTAAACATAAATAAAACTGAGCCGTCGAAGTTACAGTGTCTGCAAAATATAAATGTCGTATAACTTTCAAGTTTTATGCTTAAATTTATAACATAAAGCTATAATATAAAGTTATAAGTTAAGACTTTAATACGTAATACATAAAATATAATTGTATTTTATCGCGTCCATTGGTATCTATTTCATAAAACGGATTGGTATATGGAAAATTAAAAAAATATTTATCGTTCGTAAATTATTATAATAAATCATTATCGGTACTGATGGTAACATTCGATTTGAAATAATATTACAATATTTTTAACCATCGATGCGTGCTAGTGTACAATAATAAACCGTAACATGTTGGGTCGATCGAAATTGTTCAGTGTTTGCACCGAAGGCTTTTTCACCGACTTTCACTGTGCATATATCGACGAAAATACTCGCAGCGCATCCATGATAAATAAATCGTATTTAGACCATATTTAAATGACGTAATACGCAAACCCGATACTTTCTCCGAAAAAAAAAAAAATAATAATAAAAACGTTACCTGGCCGTCTCTCACGACAACGAACCCACGTGTGCTCGGATGTCGTATTGCTCCGAACGGATCGCTCTATTAGAGGGAGAAAGATAATGATAAACACTAAAACGAGCTATCGTGGATAACATACAGCTGAAGACGGATTATTACGTGATAATTGAACACCCCGAAGAAACAGCGACTGAAGACGGTCACACTGACCACAAGAACCAAAATTCGTTCGAATAATAACGATTTAGATCCGCCGCGACAATGCATACAATACATAACAACAACAACAACAAAATAATAATAATAAGCCGGGACGCGGCGACGATTCGATTTTTGTGCTCCATCATGGCGTATAATAATCTTACTTAACTCTTGTCGCGCGTTGCACAATATTACAAGAGGAGAGGCGAAAGAAGTGCGTGCCAAGCACGTACGCGCGTGCGCAACAGTAACGAAAACAAAAACAACGAAAAAAAAAATATACGGTTTACAACACGAGTGCAACAAGTGTTATTGCGAGGACGAGAAAGTCTGCGGGGCTTGACCCCGAACCGTTTGACTCGATCGCGACCATCCACCGGACGGATGACCTGCCGACGGTTACCACCGCCGGCCGGTGGTGTTCGACCTACCAACGATCCGCGGGTCGGACACGCCCCTCCGGGATGGATAGCCGGCCAATCACGAACATTCGTGCGGTATACGTGGCGGTGCGCGTGAAACGGACGGGGCCGCGCGGCCGCGGCGACCACGACCTATGACCGCGGTGACCGTGAAATCGACGCCACGACCCGATAACCGTCGGTCGGACGTGTCGCGGAACGTGCAAGTCTCCAGATCCGCTATTGTTCGCCGCTACAACCGGTGTCGTCGTTGAAAACGACACGCAGAACGGATGATCGATCCTGGAGGCAACACGAAATACATTCGATGACCACTGTGTACGCAACTATTAACGGATCCGTTTCAAACTGTAAAATGTATACGTGCCATCGATGGTGACTAATTCTATCCACGCAATCGATTGTCGACGACCGATTGATCGGCGGTATCAGTCTACTCGATTTTTTTGATTTTTTTTTCCATAAACTCGTATATGTCACCATAATTATTTATTTCAAATGAATATCGTATGGAAATGAACTTGATGATTTATGACCATAATCCGATACTGCGTAACACAATACCTAGACGACACACGCAAAATCGTTCGTTTTATTGCTGGCCGGGTGCGCGCGTACTGCACTTTTATTGTTCGACGATTGAAAGTAATCCGTCTTTAAATGGACGCGCGTGCGCCGAACAATGTGCGATTACCGCGGGAAGTGTTATGGATCGAAAACCTAGGCGTGTTTCTGCGGTGTGTCTAACGGGAGATTGCTCCGATCATCGTCTCGTGCGTTATACATTACAATGCGCAACAATCGGGTCGGTATAATAATTCCTTCGACCTCAAAAAAAAAAAAAAATATATAAATAATCCGGTCGACTGTTTTCGGCGGCACATGCGATCTCCTTAAAAAACGTGGCTCCCCGTTCCATAATACATACGTTCGTTCGTGTCCCGCCACCCACTTCGATCGGGCCCATTGTGTTGCCGCATGCAACAATAACAGCAATATTATGATGTAACGCGAGACACGTCACGGTAAAACGGTAACGAATAATTGATGTACCATACAACATGTACTGAACGCTCGGCACGTATGTAGTACGCGTATACGTAATACAGTCTTATTGGCTGGCCACCGGAAACCGCGTGTAGCGTTCCTCTCGCTTATGCTAATGACATGTTTTTTAAATCAAAAGCATTCCGGTTGCACCCGAGATGTGGGCCGAACCGTGCAGGTCCGTCCGTCAAGGTTACACGGACACCAGTGGAGCGGTTCGTTCCGAACGAAAAATCCTGAAAAACCGTATTAAAATTCTTACTCACGTACACAACGATGAACGCGCGTCGATACGATGGCCGATCCGAATACATGTACTTTTGTTATTATTATAATAATAATATAATGACAGATTATACTAAAACTAACCAGTAGTAACTAACCTACTCAGAACCTAACCTGATCGATGATAACTATTAGAATATTTGTCGGTTATTTATTGAGCCGATCGTCTTCGCGCGCGACCACAGCGCTCGTTACGGTGCACGTTGTATGCACATACGTTATTCGTCAACCGCGCATTATTGTCGCATCCCGTACCCAAGGCTGGCCCAAGCAAAAATAGTGCACTAAGCAAAATCAAATTTTGCCGTCTTTAAAAAAAAAAAATTGAGCTCTTATTTTAACATAGCCCCCCTATTTTTCATGTGACATGTCTACATAAAAAATTTTAATTTTTTATTTTATGTATAAAATTGTATGTAAAAAAACTTAAAAATGATTCCTATAATTATCAAAACCCATCATTATCGCGACTTCTTACGGTGCATTCCATCTATTCGCAATGCCGTTGTTTCCGTACCAAGACACTGCGATATCGTTGTTCCGTTGACGCGTACGAGGCCGGCAAAGGATGATGGAAAACGTTTGACGATAATAATTTGAAAACGACCGGAAGGCGATCATAATAATAATCACAATAACTGTTTATATATGTATACGTTTCGTCTATTGTTCGTAATATGTAATATTATCGTATTCTGTAACAATAACGGCCGATTCGTCGTGTACGTTGTACGCGATGGCGTGTTCTATCCAATTAGACCAGTGTACTGCGTTTGAATTTATCTTTGTATATTTATCACGAATTTGAATTTGCACGTTTGTACATTATACGGACAAATGTTCTTCGCACATTTACGAGATAATAACACGGAAGAAAACCTGAGATGGGTTCTCGTCGGTCGTTTACGTGATACCCGATTGAACAAGTTCGTTATCGGCTGACCTTTTTGACGACCCAATTGAGCACCGTAAAAAGAAAATATTGTGTACAACGTTGTCAGATTTTTACTAGTATGTGTTGATAATTAATAGGAAACTATCTTACTCATCGTTTCTCAACCTTTTTAGTGTCGCGACCCCTAAAATAGGTATAAAATATGGTCAATCACTTTGCGACCCCCCTCCATCTATATTAGGTAAAAATTTGATTTGAATTTACATTTTGTAAATCAGTGTTTTATTATTTTTGATCTACGTGACCCCAAGTCAAGGTGTTCGTGACCCCTCTGGGGGTCTCGACCCCCTGGTTGAGAAACGCTGATCTAACTATTAGTCGAAAAAAATTTCGCTATTGATTGATAGGTACCACGGAAGTTTAAAATAACTGATAAATAGGAAACCAGAATTTTATTTATAACGATTGTATGTGTCTACGCTGTAAATAGTAGCCATTCTATTCTGTTGTCTCGTATGCTCATGACGTATTCCTAAATAACGTGTATTTTGCAAATTGAAATGGAAAATAATGAAAAAAAAATTATTTTATCTGAGAAAGGCAAAGAGTTAGCTAATGTCGGAGCTTTCAGGTATAAGTTTATTGGGATTAGACAAAATGGTGAGTTATTGAAATATTCTACGATACAAAGCGGCAACGTGCACCCATTTTCATGCTCAATTGTGTGGTTTTTTGGTTTTTTTTTTTTTTGGTTCCTATTGTTTGATTGTAACTGTGCTCAATCGGGTTACGAAAAAGATGAATCATGTTCAATCGGGTTCCAGCCGGTCGTTTTCGTCAAAACTAGGGATGAGTAGTATTCATGCAGCTAGTAAAGGAAATGTTCGCTTAGCCTCTCCCCCTCTCTCTAACATTTTTTTTAGCCCATAACTATAAATTAGATGATCCTAAACGTGCAATAATACTTACTATATCAAAATCATTCCAAATACATATGATTCATAGATTAATATCAATATTCAATCATAATGGTAATAATAAAAAGAATGGTTAATCCGTGAATTCAACGCTTACTTTTCGTGCAAACATTGTTTTTTTATATCTTGATCTATACGTTAAACTTTTTATACATGTATTTTATTTTAGTTTGAAGTATTTATTATAATGGGAGTTGTACGATGTCAAGTTTCCACTAATCTAGTAATCCAGCGCTATATTTTCCGTGCTTTTATAATCATTTTCTTTCAATTTTTAGGCCTAGTTGCGCCCGCGGAAATTAATTATTTGTTTAACTACTACTAATGTATAATAGAAACCTTTGGCTATTACTTGTTGCCTTTTGCGAACACTATATTCACGGTAAACACTTCCTCTCTGTTCGACAGATACGAAACCGGCAACGGTATCCAAGCCCAGGAGAGCGGTTACGTGCAGCCAGCCCAAGATCCCAGCCAATCAGCCCTGAATGTGGAGGGCGGATACTCGTACACCGCACCGGACGGCACACCGATCAATGTTAAATACGTCGCGGGTCCCCAGGGATTCGTGCCCGTCGGTGACCATCTGCCCACACCACCACCATTACCGCCAGCAATCGCCAAGCTCCTCCAGTTCTTGGCCACCCAACCTTCCACACCGGAACCGGCTTACAACAAGAGAAAGTAAACGCATCCTCTTGCGTCCACATATCCCAACACACCCGATCGATTTGTACTACATATATTCTTTCGACGTATCATATTATTATTATCAATATTATATACAATACCCATTCAAAGGTTTAATTTATATATATATTTGTATTTGTAACATTTTTTCAACAATACGTTGACTTTAATTCTTTATACAGTTTTTACTTTTTTTTTTTTTATACTGTGTTTTGTTATTTTGTTATAATATTATAATATTGTTCCCTTCTATTATTCTATACACATAAATATGCCATGGAAATTCGTTTAGTGCATATTAATGCTTGATTTTATATTGTAATCGAATTGACGTGTATTATTTGTATTGATGTTTTAATTAAACACATTTTATTTACGTATATATTTATATAAATATATTTTTATAGTTTTTTCACCATAATAATAATGTTTTTATTTCAGTTTATTACTGCTCAATGTTATCACGTATAAATAATATATTTGATTAAATCATATGAATTAGGTAAAACATATCATGTACCTATCATAAATTATCACTTATTTGAGAAACTATTGTGTATGTCAATAAAAGGCAATTCGAAAAAAAAACAATAAAATACTACTTTTACGCTACCAGTAATATTCGGTGAATAAATCGACAGGTTTAACGAAAATAACTCGGTAAGATACATAATTTAAAAAAATAAATTTTGGCCCAGGGGGTTGATTGTAGGATTTTTGGACTGACGTTGTTTATATAATACACGATTCTTTGTGGTTTAAATGTGCAGCTGAAGCGTAATCAAGTCCAATTATGCCTATAAATTATTATTATTAATATATTATTTTCATTTTTTATTTATAATAGGACAAAAATAAATAGTAAATTACTGTAATAATCTAAATTTTATTGATTATTAATATTGTTAATATTTTGTTAAATGTATTTTTAATTTATTTTATAAGATAGTATAATAAAAATAGCAAACTTGAATTTTTTAGAATATTATTAAATAGGTACACATGATTCAATCAAAGGTGTTAATTTAAGTTTCTACAAAAAAAAAAAAAACAATATTTCTTATTTTATGAAAATACGATTTTAACCTTCGGGAATTTGATAATCATCTTAAATTGTATCAATCGTATTCCATGGAACCCTCTGGTAGAACTTCATCAAACAATTTTAGGTGTGCAATTTTATTTTTGTTAATCGATACATCATCAGGACTTGTGACATTTTTCGGGAATAGGTTTTTAACTGTTCACATTAAAGATCCAATGTATTCCCAAGTAAGCTGTCAATAAAGTTTCGAGCTATTATGGTACCGGATAGTTCCCGTGAATAATAAAATTCCCCATTTGTTGAAATTTTATAGTTTCATTTGTTGATTTTCGAAACATTTTCACCCGTGGATGTGAACGTGGACGTATTATTTTTATTGTATGCCATCTGCAATCCCTTTAAATCGAAATTATCAGACGTTTTCCTAAATATACCTAAAATATATTATTTGCCACCGCAATAATAAAACACATGCACTCTTTGACAGAATAGACCCGATTACACATTTAACGACCACAAAATTGTGGTGACTTGAGACAAAAGAATGCCTCCGAATTGGTAAATAATAATGAATTACGGAGTAACCTTTCAACAATAACACTGAAAAATCTTATCACTGTATGGTTACGATTTTGGCTAAATAAGCGTTATTAATGGGATTATCTATCAAACACGTGGAATCACAGTCTTAGAAGAATTTTTTAAGAGAAATGCGTGAATTAGACAAGAAAAAGCTTGAGTTCAGAACTTGCCTTATTTATCTCTTTACTAATTATTTGCAGTGATGCTACAATCTTGAAACTAAATACATTTTTTTGAAATTTTCTCACATGATGTGTCTCTTCTTAGTTAACACATTCACGCACTATCTCAATTTTTAATATTTCGTGACATGCGTCGTTTCTCAAACAAGTAGTACAAATATTATTATTAAATGTATACTAATACTTATTTTATTTACATATTATAATCTTAATAACTTTTGGATAAGCTGAGTTCAGTTAAGAAATATTTAACAGGTCATTATAATAATAATAATAATTACGATATATTATTATGCACACATAGGTGTCACTTTTCACTTTTAAAATCCTATTCTTATATTAAACAGCTGTGTAAATGAATGAATGTTTGCTAAGTAAAAGTGGACATGCAGACAAAGTGAGTTTGACCTGTTATTCAAAGAACCTATATTTGTGACATGTATACTTTTACATTTTAAATATAAGCATTTAACTTGTTTGTGGTTAAGATGACCGTAAAAAAAAATGTATCATAATTATCAGCTATATGGAAGTGGTTCTTAAACTAAAACACTTCGGAGTAAATTCTGAATGATTTTTATAATACAACTCTTTAATACTACATGCATATATATTGATATTGCGAAATGTTACAATTTATTTGAGGATATAAAAAAACAATGGTAAATTTAAACTAATTTCAAAATAATGTTGATTTACAAGATTTACTTTTTAACTTTATATTTAACATGTCTTTTTTTTTTTCTTAAAGTCACTTTATACGATTTCGACCAGAATGATTACTCCGGTAAACAAATAAAAAGTTTAATTTTTAGGAAGTGGATTTACCTAGCTGGTACTTTAAGGAGATAATTTATATAATTTCTTGACAATTTTCCAAATAGTTTAACAAAATGGAGAAAAAATTATAAAAAAGTTAAAATTTCAACAGGGATTTGAGCCCTAACTACTAATAATCATATATCATTTCGGCACACATTTTTTTTTTTTTTTTTTTGAATCTGTGTAGACGTTATCGTTATACTCTGATTATTGCAATTTTAAGAGATTTTTAATAGAAAATTTTATCTGGTTGATACTTTAAAAATTGTGATTTTCAAATTTCTTAACATTTTTTTTAATAATTTCGAAGAACTGACGAAAAATCATTGAAATATATATAGTAACCGGTTTTTGACTAAATTGAATTTTTGTTTTCTTTTTAACTCGAAATATAATAATCATACATAAAGGAAATTTTCACTGAATGCTTATATTACCTTGATTTAAATTTTAAAAGACCATTGTAGCAATACCATTCACCTAACATATCTTACCCGACTTATAAATTTCAATCTTTTTTATTTTAATCAAGTATAGCGTAAAAATTAAATATATTTTAATTTTTTAGTTAATTTTATATTAAATGTTTTATGTTTTAAATCTATAATAGTATTTTTTGTATCTATAATATTTTTGGATGTTAATATAAGAAATTATAATGATACAGGAAATGGCTCATTATAATTTAGTTTGTATTTTAATAGAAAATATCCATTTCTTATAAGCAATTAAAATAATTAATTAATGAAAATTATATTATACTCGTATTTATTTATAATGCAGTAGTTATAGTTATATGGTATTTATATCAATTATATCAAAAGTAAATTCAGTTATTTAACAAAGTTTTAGATTATAAATTTAACACTTTTTTTTTTTTACATAAATTAAATAAGTAATAGCAATTGTTAACCATTAATTAATGTAATAACACATTTTAAGTGTAAACCTGAATTTTTCTATAAAATGTATGACTTATCCTTGAAATTATTAAAATCTGATGCCGATAAAAAGTTCTTATTACATTTCTAGATAGGAATTCTGTAGTAAATGTATAAAAAAAAATTGTCATATTAGTAAAATAAATGTATATACGGAATTTATTCATAGTCCGTTAACGTTCATAATGATTGATGCCGTTGAATATTATATAGGTAATTACGAATTGCCCGAAAAATAATCGACTCTCATCATTTTTTAGGCCAATTAAATACGATTTTTGACAGTGGCATTAAATGCAGTCGAAAATTTAAAAAGTTAATGATAGCTTTTATTCATCACACATGATTATATTAAGTGTTATAAATTATTTAAATTATGGTGCCGAATACTTTTAAAAACTATTGCATCACATTGTTATTATTATTATTTTTAAAAAGTTGCCCAAAATATTACTGACTCGTGCTGTACTTGATTCAATAAAATATTATGTAATTCAACCGATTACGGGAACATTATAGAAAATTAGCTACCACCTGCAATATCGAAAATATTCATCGCTTAAATATCATAAATTTATAATAACTATAATATCTGTGTTAGGATAATATACATATTTAACTATAAACAAATTATTAAGCACTTATGTTTCAATCACATAGAAATAGGTAATAGTAGAAGACGAATAAATAACATACGATTCCTTGGGCTATACATCCCGCGCATGCCCTTGTCACCTTGTACTACAGCTTCAATTTTTGCTATACTATACACAGTATACCGAGAGCGTTCGTTAAAATCAATTATGATCAAATCGCAAATTATTTTAAAGGCAAACTCATAAAACGGACAAGGACAAGACCGTTTAACATTTATGCAAACCAATGTACCAATTATATTACGTGTATAAATATTAAAGTTTATGATTGATGTTTCACTAGAATCTCTTCTTCCGCTAGTTTATTCAATAAATTACGCAAAAAAACGTTTCAAATAAACTTAAATCATATATTTATTCAATATACTTTTTAGCTTGAATTTTATATTATTTTAATATTTAATTTCCAAGCTTAACAGTTAAAGATTATTCATCTAACGGAAATAAAAAAGGAAAACATTTATTTTTATGAGTAAAATTACTGAAAATCGATAGTAAAATGTATTAGTATTAATATTTTAACAAAAATTACACGAGATTAATCAAAATTTCGAGAAACCATCTGAAATCCATAAAAATACAAACGATTGTTGATATTTAAATACATCACTTATTAATGATGATCAACGATTTAATTTCAAGTATCAATATCAAATAATTATTTCCAATTCTGTATAGAAATAAATTCAATTCAATATTATTTATAATTTTGCTAATTACTCGATTGATCAAAATACTGGAATCCAAGTGTATTCAAATACATTCGATACCGATGATACATTTACTGTAGCCATTGCAGTATTATCCCAAAATTAAAGAGAATAGTATATTTTACCTTTATTTTTTATATAATTACTGTCTAATTAAAATATTGAAGGTGTATACATAATATAAAAGTGAAATAGAAATTATTGTTTTATATCATTGTTTCACTGTTGAGTGGGTTCATTTTATAACACAACAATGTGCATAAA